TATTTGCCAACTATCATCTGCCAAGAGGAAAAATATGCAAAAATTTACAATTTTGAATATACAGTATATCTGTTGTCATTATGTGTACAGTGCTGTCTTGTCGCAAGATGGGGTTTCATAAGTATTATTCTGATCTATCCAACACTACTGCTCACATTCCTACAATAATTGGTTGTATTGTACAGTATTGGTCCTCACAGGTCTAAAATCTAAATGGCTGACAAGTGGCATCAACTATTCAAAAGTTTTGTGACATGTGCTAGGGAAAAGTACAGAATGTTAAGAGGAGGTATTACAGCCCATCATCAAAACAAATGGTTGTGAGGTTCACAATGTTCAAGTCAAATTCTGACTACAAAAAATCTACCCAAGTCAATATTGGACTTATAGCCCACCTAGCCATGTTCGAAGCTATAAACTATAGGAACAAATGAAGGAACTAGTGAAAGAAAATGAGTTATGGAAAGTGAAGAGTGATGAATTTAAAGAAATTAACAAGAAAATACTCATATGGTGAATAACTAAGAGACCCTGAGGGCCAACATGGAGTTAGGCAAGGATATGCAAAGAGAAACTTCCTTGACAACTCATATAGAGGAGGTTAATAAAGAACTAAAAAATACAAAGAGGAAATTAAAAAGACATTCTCAAGTTGTAAAAGAGAGAGAGACAATCAAGGAAGTGTGTTTGAAAGTCAAAAACCAGAAATCGAACAACAAGCAGAAATTAGACAAGCAATTAGGAAAGAACTAGTTACCAACAGTAAATTAGTACAAAACACTGCAGACAGAAGTAAGTCCATAATCATTTTTAGAGTTTAGAAAAGGAAATATCATCTAGGGTGCACAGAGCAGCAGATGAGATGAAAATCACTGAGAAAATTTAGTTTAGACGGCCTCAATTTAAAAGAAAAGGTCAGTGATTTTAGGAGAATAGGATAATTTGAGAGAAAAAAATAACCCCTTAACCCATTAACTGCGCAACGTGCCTGCAGGTCTGGGGTGCATTATGCGCCTTCGCGTATTTGTATTTTTCACGTTCCATTCAAAACTCCCGCGGCTACGTGGGGTTCACATCAGCTTACTCAGGGCTTTTGTAAACAGACGCCATCTTTAAAAAAAATCGTGGTCCACATTCCCGGGTGTGAGAGCCTCAGTAGTGAGTGAGCAACCATGGCCGGCGCACGTAGCATGAGTTCACAGCACTGCTGTTCAGCTTGTGACCACAGCATCGCCTAATAATGTCAAAATATATACAGTATATAATTTGAACTATTTAGCCATGATAATATTATAGAAGAGCCTGAGTGTGATAATGACTGTGTACACTGTTCAAATATTAGTGATTCAATGCTGTTCACAATGTTCACAGCGCTAGCCACAGCACCACAGCGCTAGCCACAGCACCACAGCATTATTTCGTCCATCTAGGAATCTTCAAACTACCTCTTAGGTTCCTTTACAAAATAAACTTGTGGTCAATTATGTATTTACAGGATTTAGTGACCAGTATTGTGATAACAGCAGGATTGTGGTGATAATAAGCACTGCATAGTATTGTGGGAGGAGTAATTGTGGTGAGAGCGAGGGAGAGAATCGAGGTAGCCTCAATGTGTGGCAGCCACTCTTGTTTTGCTTGTCATACTAGCTTAGTGGTTCGCTATGACGAACACATTTGTACATGGGTATATACAATGTGTGTATATAGTGTAGTAACAGCAACAGGAGTATGTTGGGAGGAGCTATTTTGGTGAGGGAGGTGACAATCGTAGCGTCGTCTGCTGGCTGCTGTGTGATTTCTCATGCAGTGTATGGTGGCCAATGTAAAGTTTGAGCACAATACCGGCTTACTTGCATAGTTCTGGTGAATAAAACATGTAGACAGGTATACATAACACGTCTAAATAGTGTAATACAAACAATAACAGTATGGTGGGAGGAGCAATGTTGGCGAGTAAGATGTTGGAGGAGTGAGGGTGTGGCAGCTGACACTCACGGAGTTCTGAGTGTGTTCATGGTGAATGTATATAGTGTGTGATAGTGTATAAATAGACTGTATATATGCATAAATTAGCATAATACAATGGAAATATGTGCCGGATATGTGTACACGTGTCATGCACGTAACACAGTGTTTTCGGACAGTATGGATGTTCTACTGCCATAATATAGTGTACTTGTTCATTATACATAGGATTGGCATGTAAAAGCATATAAAATGTATTTGGAACTGTGCACTGAAAATGAACAAACATATACTCGCAGCAACTCGCGCATCCTGCCCCGAGCGCTCTATGGGCCCCGGGGGCGTATGCCACAGGCGCCCTACCGGCTCCGGGGGAGTATGCCACGGGTGCCCTACCGGCTCCGGGGGAGTATGCCACGGGCGTCCTACCGGCCCCGGGGGCATATGCCACGGGCGACGTCACGCACGAACTTACGAACCCATAGCAGCTACAGTACTTACAATTTTGACGTTCTGTTACTATACCCATACTCGGGGAAGAGTTTTTGACACTTTAAAGACAGAAAAGAATTTTTTCCAGAGATTTTATTTCCTGCGCACTGGGGGGGGGTCATATTTTGAGGCCGCGCAGTTAAGGGGTTAAAGGTGACATTTAATGGAGTGAAACAAAGAACGGAAGTGCTTAGAAATGACAGGAAATTGCAGTGATGAGGATGGTAAACTTTGGCCAATATGACAAGACCTCTCAAAGGATGACAGAGAAAAGTAAAAAAACAAACCTCAATGAAGCATAATGTCTAAATGGGAATAGAAAAGAAGAAGAAATTCTTTTTTTCTACAGTGTTAGGGACTGGATAGCTAGTGAAATGGTACATAAAACCAAAGCAACAAAATCATTTGACAAAGAGGGAATATAGAACAAAGGGAAAGGGACTCATGTTCCTGAAAATTGTATATACTGTACCAACAAAGATGGAGATAAAAAAAAAATACTATAGCTAAAAGATATACAAGTAATTCAGTTTCAGGTCCCAGATATTGTCACACTAACAAAGACAATGTGAAGAAAATATTTTAAATGGGACCGTATTCCGAAGGGGCTACTAAGTTTGGAGGCATGACAGGAAAACTAAGAAGGGGTGAGGAGTGGCAGTGCTGGTGAAAGAACACCTAAAGGTAATAGAGTTACATAATCGAAAACCCTCGAGAAGTTGACAATGGCATTGCAAGTCTGGAATCAGGATGATAAACTGATAATCGTAAATGCCAACAGCCTGACTATAAGCTAATCTGCAGATTATGTTCCATCAACATTTGGTAGTTTGCCTTGTGTAAAGCTGTTAAAAAGAGCTCTAATTTTGCTAACAGGAGTTGAAAGTCATTTCTTGTACCCAGTAGCTAGTTCCTGGATGCCCTGTACTGTATTTATGAATGGGTGGATATAAATAGGAATTGCCAACAGACCTTTATGTAATTTACTTAATTCTTATATTCTTATAAACAAATGACAAATAAAAGTAGCAGAAGTATAAGCTGAAATTATACCAATATCAATAGTTAAAAACAGGCAGATTCCACCAATACATCAGTACACCTCAGTTTAAATCTTTCCATACATTAATCAATATTGATACATCACCGTGAAGCAGTTCATTCATCTGGCAGTTTTGTAGCGCAGTGGTAAGACACTTGCCCTGCACTTTGCGAGCGATTTGACCTGGGTTTGTATCCTGGCCAAAGAGGATTGACTAGGCACAAATTCTTAACTTTAGCCTCTGTTCACCCAGCAGTGAATGGGTACCTGGGTGTTAAACTATTTGGCGGGGCCATATTCCAGGGAAAATTAGGATTAAGGACCTGCCCGAAACACTGTGTGTGCTAGTGGCTTTACGAGATTTTAAGAACTCTAGTATATATTAGAACATAAGAATCAAAGAAACTACAGGTCTATTGGCCCATACGAGGCAGCTCATATTCATATCCACCCAGACTCGTTCATATGCATGAAACATTCAAGGGTTCCTATGTCTATTATGTTACGAGGTAATTGGTTCCACAAACCGACAACCCTGTTACCGAACCAGTATTTACTCAGGTCTTTCCTAAATCTAAACTTATTCAATTTATATCCATTGTTTTGTTTTATTATGTGTTGTTGTATTAATACCTTATCAATATCTCCCTTGTTAATGTATGCTCATTCATCCACTTGTATACTTCAATCAAGTCACCATAACTCTTCGCCTTTCTGGAGTATGTAGATTAAGCTTTTTCAATCTCTCTTCATATGAAAGTTTCTAATTTGTGGGATATACATCAGGCACAGGCCCATGTGGCACTGCAATTAAAAGATACTATTGGACACAGCTGAAAAAGGTGTGAGGGCTAACTAGCAAGAGGGCAAAAAGACCTGCATCCCGATCTGGGGAAGCAAGTCACATTGTTCACAGGATGATTCACAATCAAATTTTAAGACCTCTACCTAACCTAACTTCACTTTACCCAACTCAACCGAGTCTAATATCCCAACCTAAGCTAATACATGCTCATCTAACGATATATACAGTTCTGACAATCAGACCTTCGTCAAACCAACTTGTGTACGATTTGACCATACCGCCCATTGTAGACATTTATAATTCGGGGAAGGTTTTAATCCTTTTCAGCAAACAAACTAGCTAACACAGCTATTTTGTTTTGTTTTCCCTCATTAAACATTGTACAGACGAGAGAACACGTAACAGCGTGCTCGGCTGCATAACTAATGATGGCTTCCATTCACATTTACAGAGCTGGGTCGCAAATGACCTGTCAAGCAGCACAAAAGGGAGAAAAGGTAATATTTGGAACTCTTAACTCACACATTTTGAAATAAACACGCTCCATACATGCCTAGAAATGCACTGAACATGCACCCACACAATAATAGCAAATCGCTGTAAAATTCTTATCCACCCTTTCGAACCAAAACAACTTTGTCGCAAATTTTCCCAAGAAACCACGCACAATACAGATCTGCCGATTTTAACTCATACACATGAATTAACGCCGCGGAAGACGAACATTCACTGTATATTTTGTTTCTACTTTAAAATGCTCATACACCTGCTTAAAGGAATACTACTCTTGCCCCTAAACATTAAAATGTATGTGTTACCCGCAACTGGTCTTCCGAATCTGCCATATTTGTTTGGGTTTGTTTTCGAGCGTGCAGCAGACGGCAAGACGATCCTCAACTCCAGTTTTCACTCCCGGCTCACATGCTCTCACACACTCTCTCACATATTCACTTTTATTTAAAACTCATAAAACAGACTACTTTATTAAAGAATATAACTGTGAGTGTGAATAAAGCTTAATATTTGCAATAATTACTATAACACACTGATCAGTCAACGCGCGCTTTTCGTTATTATTATAGTGCTCTTAGCTAGCATTCTTCAGAATGGCAGCATTCTGAGAATGCTTCCATTCTGTCTGAGTTTGGTGGCCTGTATATAACTCCTATAATAAGTTTTTTATCTTTTTCGTTTAATTCTAACCAAATAGTTCATGTGTGTGGCTAACAAGGTTGTGTATTTATGGAATCAATTACTGGGTAACATAATATACGTAGGATCCCTTGAGTGTTTCAGGCGTAGTCTGGACATATGAATGAGTATGGGTGGGTATAGGAGCTGCCACGTGTGGGCCAATAGTCCTGCATTTTGATTTCATAGATTCTTATGTTCTTATCCATTTCTCCTTCTAAAGGGGGGTATGGGAGTGACCTTTTCTTGTACACCCGTTCGAGTTCCATTTTTATAATAATTTTATTATTATAATAATATTATTATAGGAATGGGACTCGAACGGGTGTACAAGAAAATGTCACCCCCATACCCCCTTCATAAGGGAGAAATGGATAAGAACATAAGAATCAAGGAAACTGCAGAAGGGCTATTGGCCCCACACGTGGCAGCTCCTTTCCCACCCAACTCATTCATTCCTATAATTATATTTACTTATTTGTTTATTTATTTATTTATTTATATACAAGAAGATACATTGGGATTGTGAGGATACATAGGATAGTAATTACAATCTCCGTGGTGTAGTGGTAAGACACTCGCCTGGCGTTCCGCGAGCGCTATGTCATGGGTTCGTATCCTGGCCGGGGAGGATTTACTGGGCGCAATTCCTTAACTGTAGCCTCTGTTTAACGCAACAGTAAAATGTGTACTTGGATGAAAAAACGATTCTTCGCGGCAGGGGATCGTATTCCAGGGACCTGCCCGAAACGCTACGCGTACTAGTGGCTGTACATGAATGTAACAACTCTTGTATATATCTCAAAAAAAAAAAAAAAAAAATCTTGTAAAGCCACTAGTACGCGCAGCGTTTCGGGCAGTGAAATATAGTAATACATATAGTAATTATGTTTACAAATGCAAAACTGTGTTATATTTCAATACTAGCTAACTGATATATTTACTGTTTGTGTCAGCAGAATCCAGCTATTAGCTCTTAGACCCCGCCTTTCCAACCAATCCTATTTTTCCTGTATTAAATCTACTACATAAAATACATTAGATCTCTCTAACACACACACACACACACACACACACACACACACACACACACACACACACACACACACACACACACACACACACACAAATCGCCAACATGGATTCAGGGAGGGTAAATCTTGCCTTACAGGCTTGATAGAATTCTACGATCAGGTGACACAGATTAAGCAAGAAAGAGAGGGCTGGGCGGACTGCATTTTCTTGGATTGTCGGAAAGCCTTTGACACAGTACCGCATAAGAGGCTGGTACATAAGCTGGAGAGACAGGCAGGTGTAGCTGGTAAGGTGCTCCAGTGGATAAGGGAGTATCTAAGCAATAGGAAGCAGAGAGTTACGGTGAGGGGTGAGACCTCCGATTGGCGTGAAGTCACCAGTGGAGTCCCACAGGGCTCTGTACTCGGTCCTATCTTGTTTCTGATATATGTAAATGATCTCCCGGAGGGTATCGATTCATTTCTCTCAATGTTTGCGGACGATGCTAAAATTATGAGAAGGATTAAAACAGAAGAGGACTGTTTGAGGCTTCAAGAAGACCTAGACAAGCTGAAGGAATGGTCGAACAAATGGTTGTTAGAGTTTAACCCAACCAAATGTAATGTAATGAAGATAGGTGTAGGGAGCAGGAGGCCAGATACAAGGTATCATCTGGGAGAGGAAATTCTTCAGGAGTCAGAGAAGGAAAAAGACTTGGGGGTTGATATCACGCCAGACCTGTCTCCTGCAGCACATATCAAGCGGATAACATCAGCGGCATATGCCAGGCTGGCCAACATACGAACGGCATTCAGAAACTTGTGTAAAGAATCATTCAGAACTTTGTATACCACATATGTCAGGCCAATCCTGGAGTATGCAGCCCCAGCATGGAGTCCATATCTAGTCAAGGATAAGACTAAACTGGAAAAGGTTCAAAGGTTTGCCACCAGACTAGTACCCGAGCTGAGAGGTATGAGCTACGAGGAGAGACTACGGGAATTAAACCTCACTTCGCTGGAAGACAGAAGAGTTAGGGGGGACATGATCACCACATTCAAGATTCTGAAGGGGATTGATAGGGTAGATAAAGACAGTCTATTTAACACAAGGGGAACACGCACAAGGGGACACAGGTGGAAACTGAGTGCCCAAATGAGCCACAGAGATATTAGAAAGAACTTTTTTAGTGTCAGAGTGGTTGACAAATGGAATGCATTAGGAAGTGATGTGGTGGAGGCTGACTCCATACACAGTTTCAAATGTAGATATGACAGAGCCCGATAGGCTCAGGAATCTGTACACCTGTTGATTGACGGTTGAGAGGCGGGACCAAAGAGCCAGAGCTCAACCCCCGCAAACACAACTAGGTGAGTACAACTAGGTGAGTACACACACACACACACACACACACACACAAGTGTAGATATGATAGAGCCCAATAGGGTCAGGAATCTGTGCACCTGTTGATTGACGGTTGAGAGGCGGGACCAAAGAGCCAGAGCTCAACCCCCGCAAACACAACTAGGTGAGTACACACACACAAAGACAGGAAGACAGAAGAGTTAGGGGTGACATGATCACCACATTCAAGATCCTCAAGGGAATCGACAGGGTTGATAAAGACAGGCTGTTTAACACAAGGGGCACACGCACTAGGGGACACAGGTGGAAACTGAGTGCCCAAATGAGCCACAGAGATATTAGAAAGAACTTTTTTAGTGTCAGAGTAGTTGACAAATGGAATGCATTAGGAAGTGATGTGGTGGAGGCTGACTCCATACACAGTTTCAAGTGTAGATATGATAGAGCCCAATAGGCTCAGGAACCTGTACACCTGTTGATTGACAGTTGAGAGGCGGGACCAAAGAGCCAGAGCTCAACCCCCGCAAGCACAACTAGGTGAGTACAACTAGGTGAGTACACACACACGTGCATAGAAAAACTCCTCTGCATAGAAACCCCCCTATCCCAAACCCTCCCTGCCCCCACTCAAATGCTAAGCCAAATACTAAGTCGCTAAAGGCAAAGGACTCAACATAACCTTAAACTGGATCCCATCCCATATCGGAATCCCATTAAATGAAAAGCTGATGAAATTGCTAAATTGGCAACTGGTCATCCAGTGATACATAAAACAATTCAACCCAGCCTAGAGAACAACCCAGCCTAGAGAACAACCCAGCCTAGAGAACAACCCAGCCTAGAGAACATAAAAAACATCATCACCAAAAAACTCTCACATTTATTTATTTATTTATTTATGCATATACAAGAATGTACATAAGGAATGTGAGGATACAATTATGGTAATTACAGTCTTGTAAAGCCACTAGCACGCGCAGCGTTTCGGGCAGGTCCTTAATCTAAGAAAATTTTAAGGAGGTAAATACTTGCAAAATTTATAGACAAAAAAATGATAACAGATTACATGGAATGAAAAAAAAAAGATGAGAGAAAATTATAGGTACAGTATATTAAAGCACATAGGTAGCTATGATTGATTGCAATGACAGCTTAAAATGGTAGTTGACAACAAATTGGTAGGCACAATACAGCAGAAACAATATAAGATTGATTGCAATGACAGCTTGAATGGTAGTTGACAAAAATTGGTAGTCACAATACAGCATATGGCTAGCACATAAAAGAAGACAGCAATGAACACAATGATAAGGTTGTTTGATATTACATAAAAATTATGAGATTGGGTACCACTAGGTACAGAGCAAATTTAAAGCTCAGTGTAGGAAACTAAATAGATGAAGTTAGGTACTTTTTGGTTTTGCTTTTAAATAAGGCAAAAGTTTTACAGTTTTTCAATTCACTAGGGAGTGAGTTCCATAGACTAGGTCCCTTAATTTGCATAGAGTGTTTACACAGATTAAGTTTGACCCTGGGTCAAACATCTGGGTTTGACATCTCAACAAAGCCGACCTGCACCAGAGAATAGCTGAAGGTTCGCCATCTGCAACATGGTATCTTCAGGCAACCAAATTAGAAAGGTTAAATATCCCAAAAGGAATCCACAGGGAAATAGCAGTTAGGTTATATAGACTACGTCTAGGTTACAGATGCAGCTGGGAGATTGGTGAACCCCGATAGAGAGAGTCCATCTTCTGCCAAACTGTCACAGAAAAGCCATTACTTCACTATCTTCTGGAATGTAAAGCAACCAATGACCTTAGAAGAGCTTTAAGAGTTCCTGAATCATGCAGTGGCCACCCTGAAGCCATCAACACAGCCACTCTCCTGGTCAACAAAGGTGTACAGCAGCTGGACACCCTCATAAAGACTCAAGCAGTATCCTCCCCCGCGATAACACCTTGATGGTTAAATGCAAACTCAGAATACTGAGAAAAAAAAAATTGTACCACTTACGGGCTATTCATGCCCGTGCCACCTCTTGGGTGGCTTAATCTTCATCAATCAATCGATCATCCCTCCCACACCCCATTCCCACCCTTCTACCCCTCCCCTCCTCCCGCCATGTCCCCCCATCCCCCCTTTTCCTTCGGGTCCTCCCTTCCCCTTCATCCCATACCCTCCCTGTCCCCCCCCCTCACCCCAGTATCCTCTGAGACCCT